GGGCAAGCCAGTAGAATCTGGCATAGTAAAGTTGCACTGTAAACTTGCGCACTCTATCATTATATATTACTGTGGTAAAATTTGCCACAATATCTTAGTAATGCGGGATAAAAAATTCCGATAACGAACGGGAAAAGACTTCTGTAGGAAAGACTAGAAACTTTAACATTATAGATCAGAAAAATGCTCACTGTTAAACAACCTATTTAATATTGCTTAAACAGTTAATTGATTTACATATGAATAAAATGTTTCATTCAAGTCCACGTTTTACTACGAAGCATGTCAATATCTGTTTGGAAATTCAAGTTCAAGTTCAAGTTACAATACCAAGTTTGACTGAGTTCAGTCGACCGGATCGAAAATAGACCTGAAGAAGGAGATAAAGTCGCAAATAATGCAACTCTTTGAGCCTATTCTATGGGAATTATACCGTGGTGGTAACTTTGTATCTTAAAACGATCAAAAACACATGCATTCCTCAGTTCGAAGGTACCGTGATAAACAGTGGATAGAGCAAACTAATTAATTAGAATATAATCGAAGCTATTAAACAATGTATAGCACTTTAATGTCTATAGTTATAGCGGCATCTCTAGTAAGATGCTTACGAAATATATGTAATATACCATGCACATCTCCATAATTCAACCTGGAACATAATTCGACGTGGAAATTTCTGCCCCGTTGTACGGAATCATATGACAACATCGGCTTACGAGATTAATGTAGTTAGTGCTATAGTTAGTTCATCTCCATCTTCCATCGCCGTTTCGCCTTTCGGGTGGCGGAGACAGATGCGTCAGGCAGAGCTTCCAACCTTCCCGATTTTGTGCCAGAGTCTGAGCGTCGGCAAAAGACAAATGGAGTCTGGAGCAGACTCCTTCCGTATGTTTGCACCAGGTTAATCTTGGCCGTCCCCTGGGTATTTTGCCGGTCGGATTTGCAAGGAACAGTTGCTTAGCGTTCCTTTCTGGAGGCATTCGCAACGCATATCCAAACCAACGCAGCTGTGACTTCTCAGTCTGAAGAAGCAGCGGCTGTACACCAAGGTTTTCGCGGATGTCTGTATGTGCAAACACCCGCTGTAGTTAGCTCTGTAATTATAATGGCAGTGTGCCACATTCCGCGTGCACCTTAAAGTAGTTTTGTCTAAAATAAGCGCAGTCTGATTGCGAATCAGAAAGAGAGTTTTGTACGCCTGATAAATCCTTTAAAATTACATAGAAATCGTTTCATCATACCGTCTGCTTTCTGAACAAAGGATATAAACTTAATTGATAGAAAGACGGAATGTCGGAAGGATGCCTGATGAATGATACTATCAAATGAAGAAGAAAATTAGCATCATTAACGTTATGGATGAAACCCTGAAAAATCCTGCAAAATCTTATAACGGAAATTTCTAAATCACGTATAACATATGAAAACTTTTATCACCATCTGGCAAGCTTGATTTCGCAACGCGAAACAAAGTCAGAAAGTAGCTTAACGTAATTAAGCATGACTCTTGGTTAGAGCACATGTGGCTAAAAATCCGCTGAATGGTTGCGAAGCCACATCCACATTGTTACGCATGCTATATGTTGTTTAAAAGTTGGTTTGAACTCAAACGGCAAGCTACATGTAATGCTTCGAAAGTATCAAACAAGCTATAAGAAAAGGAGGCGAAATTACCATCACTGGAACAGTTGAAAAGTTAACTTAGGTCTGGGACACTTCAAGCAGATGTTTGATTTGTGGAATCCAGGAAGAGGCTATGAAGTTAAATTGAAGCATCCAGCAATTAAACGTGTGAGCATGCTAATTGAATTCGAAAGAGCATTGTAGAATCAAATGGTATGAACGTAAAGGTTTCGCCCCTTGGTCATTACCGCCATAATCGAATTCACCAAACTTCCTGGACGTCTTCTGACAGAACCGTAAGCACCGAACTAGATTACTTCCTAATCAGCCGCAAATAGCGCAGCTCGTTACTCGATATTCGTGTCAGGCGTGGAGCTTGCATTGGGTTCCATCAATATATGGTCGTAGCGGAGTTAACCATGCCATATCGACGCCGCCTAGTTGAAATACACCAGATACAAAATATACTCGATGCCCACAGACCAAAATATAACGAAATAGCGCGGTCTGCCTACCAAAATGAGGTAGAGAGTTATTTTGTTGCCACCGATAGTGGCCATCCGAAAAATGGTAACGTCGATGAAGTCTACAGAGAAAGATGGCGCCATTTCTGCCAAAAAAGCGTAGCTGGGAATAGGAGGAGGGGAATTAAACTGCCTTGAGTACACGGAGCATCTTAGCCATCAGAAAGCATAAGAACCAGGCAGAGAAACAGTACTTACAACACCTTAAGGCAGTTCATCGTCGCATCGTTCATGCAGTCAACCAGAGCTACAGACGGGAGAGGGAACTTTGGCTAGTAGAGAAATCGGAAAGATCTTTAAATCAGCCAACGGTAACTGGCGAACGGTGTTCCTAGGAGTGCAACAGCTTTCAGGTAAGCGGAGAACTCGCTGCAACCTTGACCAAGACTGCAATGGTGTCCCATTGTCAGATAAGAACGAACGCTTTTAAGGATGAGCTGAACATTTACGACAGCTACTCTACAGCTGTCCTCCAGATTGCCCCCCTCCCAAACCTTCCCACAGTTGATTTCCTATTAATACCAGAGATTAGTGTAGATATCTTCCTACATAAGTAGATACCCAAAATACTTTGGTTTACCAATAACGATGAAGGCCTCCCGAATGAATCAAATTTCCCCGGAGTTAGTGAAATGTGAAGTTAAATGAGTGACAAAAAGTTTCTCAATGCTTTATTTCACAAAATATGACTCATTTCAAACAGATTTCCTGAAGAATTTAAGTGTAAAATAATTGCCAGCATATCTGCTTGAGGAGGAACGGTAACCGAGTGTTCCAAATATATGGTATTATCCTACTGTCCACTCTTGGAAAACTGTTCTCTTGGATTATTCCGGGAAGGTTGGGTCAAGTAATGGATAGAAGACTCAGTTGAAATCAAGCATGTTTTCTGAGGGGATTTCATGCCCTGACAAGATCTTCACTCTGTTCATCGAGCAATGCCTACGGTTAAAGTTGCCTTTAAAAGCAACGGGGTAACTGAGTACGTTGTTTCCATTTTCGAAGAGATGTATGCAAAAAACATGTTGGCTATCAAAGTTAAAGGAGAGTTATCTGAGTGGTTCCCTAAGGTGATGTGCTTTCGGCTTTGCTATTCAACACTGTTCTCAACATTCTTCTTCAAAACGGTGCTGATCCTTGCAAAAACGAAAGTTTTATTCTAGAAAGTAAGCGCTGTTCATGATATTCGGCTAGATATGTTGCTAACCTGGAATATGAAGATAATATTGTCCTAGTGAGTAGACGGTCAGCGGTTGCTGCCACTGAGGACTGCGTATGCTGCGCACGTGCGAATGCCGACACCTGGAAGTCAGAAGTTATGCGGAACCCACCTGACAGCTGACTTACAAATGGAACAGGGAGGTTAAGACTTTTAGGAGTAGTCTACATATCTCGTATCCATGACCTCCAGCGATGGCACTATCCATCCAGAGTTGAGGATCAGGTCTTTTTAACTTCAAGTGCTTTTGAAAACCTGTCGAATATATGGGCTGAGGAAGGAGTTACTCTTCCCCCGAAAATTCGCTTGTACCTGACCTCTGTCAGTTAAGTGTCGTTGTACAACTTAGAAGCAGTTGTTCTACCGATGGAGCACGCAGTTGAAATGTGCGCAGAAGCGCTGGCTTCGATACGTAATGAGGGTTAAATGACAGGACCAGCCAGGGAATGACTCTGTTATCTTCCGAGCACAGGTGACCACGGCAGATGTGGAGATTAAGAAAAATGGGTAGCCTTGTTAGACAACCTGGTTTAGCACATGTCAATTACTCTGGTCGGTGAAGTTCTCGTGTGGGAGCCGAAACACTGCAGACGTCGATCATTAGAATAGAAGGCAACATGGAAGAAAGAATGAGTGCGCACTATAGCTTCATT